CTTATTCATAAATTTCAATAACAGGCTTGTTATACTCACCAGGGACACGCACACCTCTTGCATTCAGAAATCCATGCATTAGCTTGTAGCCGGTGTTTGGATGGCTTCTGTGGACTTCACTTACAATACGATCCAACTCCTCATCAGTAACAGATGAATAGAGGTCTGTCTTTCTACACAGATGAAAAACACTGAGTAATGTTGGAGTTTACGAAAGATTATCTTAGACTGGTCGACAATCAGGTCTATAAGTGATGACGTGATGAATCCTGCTTCCACGCTCAAACTGATCTGTGTTTTTTAAGGCTGTTGTGCTTTTAACACGTTTTAATGCTTTGCATCTTGGTCTATCTAATCTCAACAAGCCCCTAAAAACAGTCAGTGATCACTGTCGGCCTCTCTAGGGTTTCATTACCACTGTTGATTTTAAAACTCAGTTTTTAAAACCTGGGTGTAACTGCAGCCCAGACCATGCAGCAGTACATTAATGACTAACCTATTTTGATGACTGGGTGGATTATCTCGATTGTTCTCCTGACTGAAGTTGTGTCCATTTACAGCAGGGGTCTCGAAGTCCGGGCCTTGAGGGCCGATGTCCTGCAGGTTTTAAATGTGTCCTTGATCCAACACAGCTGATTTAAATGGCTAAATTACCTCCTCAACATGTCTTGAAGTTCTTCAGAGGCCTGGTAATGACCTAATTATTTGATTCAGGTGTGTTGACCCAGGGTGAGGTCTAAAACCTGCAGGACACCGGCCTTCGAGGCATGGAGTTCGAGACCCCTGATTTACAATCCTGCAATGCGATTGCATTTTGGCCCTAAACATCGAGAAAAGTTAGCGTCCTACAGCTTCACTGTGTCTATGCTGTGTAGCTAGCGATCACATAGCACATCATTATATACCAGCTAGCCCATCTTCATTAACCCCACAAAACGTTTACTTTCCTGTCTTCATTTATGTTGGAAGTGATAGCAGAGCTGTACATCTTAATTTGATTTAGAAAACTCTTGGTGTGAACATGCTATATTATACTTAGATGGAAACTAGCGAGCTAACTTCCTGCTAACTTCTAACTCCGTTAAATTTCATATATTCTGTTTTCAGGGATGTTAAACTTAATAGTTGGGTTGCGGTCACGTGGTTCTGATGACGTGCGGAGGCAGCGCGATTTTTGAGTGGAGGGCGGAAGTAAACATGGAGGACACTGTGGAGAGTC